TTAATGCTTCTTACAATGTATCGACACTTGAATAGTTTTTTATCAATTACAAATGAAGACAATTTCTTTTTTGGTAAATAAAATGAAATTTTATTTTGAATTTAATCTTTTTTTTCAAGCGGTTAGTATTGATGAATACAAACAATAAGACGAAAAAAAGTTAAATAAGGAATTAATTAATGTATATTCACATCGCTCATTAATAATGAATTTATCTGATCTAGTATAGTATCAAAATGATCAAGATTTGAGGTGACCATAAAATATATTTAACAATTTAGACACTTTAATTATATACAAATAAAGACCTAAATGGTCACCTTTATAAACGAATCAAACCTCCTCTATATTATAATCACACTTTTCTCGAGTATCCGAGAGGTGTATAAGATGGTTACCTAAATTAGTTTTTTTATTTTTATTTTTACTAATTTCCGTAAAGAATATCATATTATCTCCAGATTTTCACCTTCAGTATTATCCTTTTTTATCCTATTTTTTAAAAAAAAGGATTAATTTCCTTTCTAAAATTAAGATTCTCTCCCCAAATCTCATTAATTAAATGAATTGGAATTGGAAATTTGATGATCCGGATGAACTAAACACGTGTAATTTTCGTTTTTCGGATAAATCCGCAGTAAAATTTCTTCTATGAATTTTACAAAAATGGTTGATACAATTGACACATGACAACAATTTACATGAACCATTTTGTGTTATAAAATAACTCGATTCTAGAGGAGAAGCTTAATAATGAATTAAAAGAAAAAAAAAAATTTGATTATAAATAAAAATAAAAATAAAGGAAAGAAAGAAAATAAAGAAGCAATAGGTTGCTTTTATCAAATGATTAATTCCCCTTGAAATTTAAGAAAAGACAAATATGTTGGTAGTAACAGATTTGATTTATTCTTTCACTGTAGTTATTATAATACAAACGGGAATTTTCGTCTTGATAAAACTTCTCTTTACACGTGATAAACCATACATTTCCAATAAGAAAAATTTGCTACCACACCCTCCAACGTTTCCAATTGTAGGAAATTTATTACAATTAAACGTACGACCTTTAGAAAAGCTTTATCAATGGAATATAAAATATGGACCAATTTATAGTATCAAATTAGGACAAAAATATATTATAATATTAAATAATCACGAAGTGGTGAATGATTTGATAGTGAAACAGGGTTCAAAATATTCTTCGAAATATAACTTTAGCAATTTAAATACGATATTGATTAAAAGTAATTCGACCGCTTTCACTCCTTATGGGAATCAATGGAAAAGAGATAGATCTATTGCCTATAGCGCTCTTACTTCTCGTCCTATTAAATCTTATTATAATTATATCTTAAAAGATTCGGATCAACTCCTCAAAGTTTTAATGATGAAACATGGTCAACCCACTTATCCCTTACAAATTTTTAAAAATTTTGTTTTAACAAACATGTTGAATATTTTGTTTGGTGCACAGATTAAGGGAAATGATGACCCTTTCTTAAAGGATGTTATGAAGGTCATGGATGATATCACCGAATTCTCTTATCCCACAAGTGTCCTTAACGATCTTATGGTAAATTTTGCGATGACCTTTAATTATACGATTGCAGCTTAAATCTGATTACTGATTATATATCTTAACTTTCTCCCCCGCAGCCCATCTTGAAATACGTTTATCAACCAAGTAATGAGAAAGCAGTAAAAGTGTATCAACAAATGGAAAATTTATTTTCATCAAAATATAATGAATTCTTAAAGGACTACGCGCAAGGCAAGAACCTTTCACCAAGTTTCCTTTCACAAATCCAGGATGAAATCGATGAAAAAGGAAAAAATTCGATAGAATATGAAGATGTGTGGCAAATGTTGGTCGGTTTACTCAATGGTGCGATGGAAACCGAAGTGAATACATTGATGTGGGCCGTGGCATGTCTGGCCAATAATCCAGGCGTACAAGAAGAAGCGTTTAAAGAAATAGATAGCGTGTGTGATAAAAACATGCCGATGATGGTGGATGAACTTGATTTACCATATATTAATGCTATCATAAATGAAACCTTGAGATATAGACCGCCGAATGCTTTTGGTATGATTCATCTGTCCAGTGAAGATGATGATTATAATGGATATTTTATACCAAAAGGAACTCCCATATTATTAAATTTATTTGCCATAAATCATAATGAAAGAAGATTTATCGCTCCTGATAGATTCCGTCCTTCTCGATTTTTGTCAAATTCTTCAACTGGTTCAGTTAAAACTAAAAGTATTTTATTACCTCAATTCGAATATGATCCTTCTGCTATCGATAAGAAAAGAAAATCATTATTCGGCATATTGAAAAACAATAGCCCTTCTCTAACTAATAATACTATGCCTATGCATATGAGTTTTGGTGCCGGAAGGCGTTATTGTATTGGTCAACATTTGGCTCAAAAACAATTATTCCTTGTTCTTGCTCGTATCCTTTGGGCTTTCGAAATCAAACCAGATGTTAACAAAGATGGCTCTATGGCAGAGATTAATTTAAATGATGGAAACGTTTCTTTAACTTCTTATTCTCCTTCCCCTTATAATGTAAGATTCTTATTGAGAAAAGATATTGGACTATTAATATAGGTTGCTTCACTAGAATTTCTTTCCATATTTATTTATTTATTTTTTTTTTTTTAAAAAAAAAAAATATTTGGTTTATTAAGTGGGATTTGGTGCAAAAGTGGCGATAGATTCTTGATTATTACTTTGTTTCATTGTCGTCCCTATTTAATCAAATTTTTTTTTTCTTCAAACTTACCCTATACAGGTAAATTCTTACTTTCTTTTATATTAAATATAATATTTATTGCTGTAATTTAATCTTCCTTAACATTAATAACGAATCAACTTCCATAAAAATAATACAAAAATACTCGATAATAAAATCAAGTTAAGTTTTATCCCTTGATTAAATTTATAAATGTTTCTTCTGCATATAGAATTGACCGTTTTTTAAATTTTTTCATTCAAGCATACAAATTACATATTACCTAACATACCGCTTTTAATAGAACTTACTAGCGGAAAATTTCATTTATTTTTTTTTTAATGAAACGATATTTATTATCTAAAAGATTGGTTAATAAGGTTCTTTTATCGACATAAGTTATAAAAATGATTTTTGATGTCACAAACGGTTTTTATTTGATTTGCCAATTGGATTGACAAATTCGGTTGGTCACACAAATTAATTATGGAAGATTCAATTTGGTAGCAAGACTAAATAAAGAAGCGTCAAAACATGAAATCAACAGAAATCTAATAGATTTATGGATTTGAAACAAGCGTTATGGTGGAATCTTTTTATTATTTTTTTTATTTAACTAAATTTAATAAAGTATTAAACGCACAACCGAACCAATGAATGGTTGTATTTCTATTTTGATTCTACATGTTTGACATAACACAATTGTTGAATAGCTAAAATTCGAAATTTAAATGTTTTTACCGATTCTTTCTCTGTAAAGAATGGTAAAATAACTTTAATTATAAATGATATTATATTCCGTTATTGTAAAAAATTAGAAGCCCTTCTTGTTTAAGTACACTAGCCTACAAAAGGTATTCGGATTTTTTTTTATTTATAAAATTTACATTAAAATTCATAATTTTTATGTACATATATAAATTTTTTTCGTACTTATTAATTGACAAATAAACTTTATTTTATTAAAATATAAAATATAAAGCTACTATACGAAAAATATTATAACTAAAAAATTAATACTTAGTATGACCAAAAAGAATGATTTATTATCATTCTTAAGGAATGATTCAATTATCATTCCAATAAGAATGATTGTTCATTCATCATTCTATTGGAACAATTCTTCTATCATTCCTTTAGAATGATTTATTATCGTTCTATTAGAATGATTTTATTTATCGTTTCATTAGAATGATGCATTATCGTTCTATCAAAACGATTCTTTTATTATTCCTTTAGAATAATGTTTAATCATTCTATTGGAATGATTCATTCTATCATTCCTTTAAAATGATGTTTTATCATTCTATCAGAATGATTCTTCTAACATTCCTTTAGAATGATGTTTTATCATTCTATCAGAATGATTTTATTTATCATTCCTTTAGAATGATATTTTATCGTTCTATTAGAATGATTCTTTTCATTGTTCCTTTAGAATGATGCATTATCATTTATCAGAATGATTTTATTTATCATTCTTTTAGAACGATTCTTTTATCATTCCTTTAGAACAATGATTTATCATTCAATCAGGATGAATAACTCAAGTTAATTCGAGTTGAGATTTAAAAATTTTTTTGACCTGACTCGATTTAACTTGATTTTTTTGAGTTAAGTTGAATTTGACAAAGACTTGCTCAACTGACTCATTCAGAACTCTAATTATTAATACTTGTTTTACATAATTTTGCGATTAATATAAACATTTTTATTTAATAAAATTTTAGTGTTAGAAAAATTTTCAATAGATTAGCTATTAAAAAACTAATACTAAAATCTGATTCTTCTCAATGCAGCAATTCCAATAAGCTAAAATTCATTTAAATCAGATCAGTAAATCAATAAATAATCGATTTACAAAATCGTTTCATTTATATAAAAAATGCATCTAAGCATATTTATATATATTATATATAAGGTATCCAGGATAGGTTAGTATGATAGCTTAAAAATCACACGTGATTTTACGATTTTATCACGAAAAAATCATGATTATAATTCTAGTCAAAATTTTATAATTTTTAGTAAATTGATCAAATATACTATAGCAAAATAAATGTAAAAAATAAAATATAACAATTAATCATCTAAAAAATTATTTAATTCATTAAGGATAAAATCAACGTCAATCATTTTTAATATAATGTATGTGACAAATTTTTTTTTGTTTATTTTTGTGTAATAATAATAAATTTACTATAATTTCTGCTGAAATTATGAAATTATAAATGCATTATTTGACAAAATAGTACTATGTTTGCATATTAGCATTTGCTTGTGTACTGGATGCTACACCTGTTATAATAATATTGCTGGATAAAATTTTACTACTTTCAAATGTTTTTCGCAATATGATTTTTTCTTGAACTAGTCCACGAATTACCAAATCTATTAAAGCAAATTGAACTAATTCTTTCGTTTTTAATATCTTTCTTTTTTCAGTTGGATATACCGGCAAACTATCCCATTTTTTTTGCTTTATTTTTGCAGTTTTACCACCTCTAAATATGTCTACTACATCATCTGGATAAATTTGTTCCTCTCTTTCTTGTGTAAGGTATTTTACCACTTCTAATAATTTTTTAATCTCTTCTTTACCATCAAGTAATTTTGGTTTGTAAGCAATTCGATTTTTACAATTATTACACATTTCAGATACAGGTGGTTTTGTTTTATTTGGCTATGCTTAATATTGCCAAATTAGCTGTTAATAGCATTCATATTGTGAACTGCAATAGTAAAAAATTTCAAAAATTTTCATGGCAGCCCGTTCAAATTTATCAACCAATCTTTGCTCTTCAATAACATAATAATAATTATATAATATAATAATAAATAAACTATAATTAGTAGTAGTATTAGTATATAAACTTGTACTAATGTTTCCCGATATTCTGTCACTATAGAATAGTTTATACAAATATCCTTTATTATAAAAAATAAAATTTTTTGCTATATTTCCATTCTTGAATAAGATTAGCTATATAAAAAAATAAAAATAATAAAAATAAAATAAAGTAAAAATAAACCAAATATGTTTAGCATATTTACTCATACTCATTTGTGCTTCTACATGAATTATCACGCGTATATTCTTTAAATTGATTCCCATTCCAAAAGCAGATGTCACAACCATTATTTGTGTATAATTAGATTTTCAATTATTCATTGCTATTTCCCTTTCATTATCACGTAAGCCATTATGAAAATAATCTATTATAATATTTGTTAAGTTTTCTTGTAATTTACTATATAGATATTCACAACTAAAATGTGTTGCACAATATATAATAATATGTTCAGGTAAATTAGCATTTATAATATTAGTAACATCGGTTATATATTGATCTCAGATTTCTTTTCTCTCTTGTACATTAAAAATTATTTTTGAACAGTGACATGTAGAACTATGAACTATTGCAAAATTATTCTTTTTAATATTTAAGTTTGTACGAATTTCATCTACTTCTGATCATATATATGTTACTGTAAGTAACATTATACATGAAGTCGAAATGGATTATTTCGGATATCCGAAATGGTCGAAATGGTCAAAATCATTTTTTTTTTTTGATACTTTTACTAGGCACGCACAAGTGGTAATATATTTGAATGCATACCTTTTAACAAAATGATACGTCTTACAACACGTCTAATTCTACTATTAACCCCCTTTGCTATATTTCAAACCAGTGTGGGTTGGCATTAAACCTAGGTGAATGAGTATCAATATCTGAGTAGACTGCCAAACCAATGAACCTTCAGGGTAGAGAGATATGGTACCCGGCCATCATTCACTATTCATCACAACTACTGGAAAGAGGGTCAAGAATAACCTAAGATGATAGCCTACACCATAGTTGCCTTGCCATATGTCAAAATCACCCCAAGAATCGAACTCAGGCCTCCAAACCCTAGTTGTGATATAGACACCATGATGATTGAAGACAGTGCAATATCAACCACTTATAACTTACGACTATTGTTCAATCTAGGTTATATAGTGCCTACTATTGACCTACCCTCACAGGTACCCTTTGTAGACAATGTGGTACTTGTTCATTACAAACCAGCCCCTACTATCAGTTCCAAACTCAATTGGTTCACGATAGGTAAGGATATCTATTACCACTACCTGTTGTCAGGATGGTATGGATTTAGACAAAGCGAACTTACACCATATTGGTGGTAGCTACCATCATACCTTATAGATATCTCAGGGTCACCATATTCTACAAATTCATGATCTTCAACGTATATGGTTTGTACTCACCCTATGAAATTCATTTCCAGAATCGAACTGGTAAATCCTGTAAATCAAATTATTATGATCTGCCTTGGCCAGGGGCTGAACTGGGGTCTATTGCAGTGTAATCTACAATAGGTCTCAGTTGTTACCAACTGAGATAGAGCAGCGAGACTCTCGTCGAAATCATTTCGACTATTGAAGGCTAAAGTCGCGAAATAGTTGAAATGACATCAAATTACATGATTTTTTATATTTGAGAAAAAACAAAAAACAAAAAAATGTACGATCTCTGTCAATATCGCATTGATTCGTATGGTATGAAACAACTACCATTCGATTCCTCGCGATTAGATGGATCCAATGAGCTATCATTCATTAATTTTGGATCATCCAAACTCGAAATAATCGCAATTGTATTATTGCTGAAATTATGAATCAATAAATTCTACTTTAAATAAAGGAATTTGGATTTCGAAATACGATCGCAAATAACTCGAGACGGGCTGATCCAAAATCAAAAAAAAAAACTCTTTCTCCCAAACGTCCAGTCCACTAAAAACGATTGACACAAAAAATAAAAAATTATGCCAGTTACTAGAGTGACTTCTTCCAAACTACAAACAAAAAATACTTACCAACGAAATAAAAGAAATATCCCAGTTGACAACTCCAACACTCCAACACTTCAAACTCCTCTTCAAAAATAACTGAAACTAACAAAAATAATATTTCCCAAAAAAAACAAAAAACTGCTTCAACTTCAAACGACAACGACATCGATCCAGAAATTAAAAAAATTATCATGAACGTTATGTCAAAATCTAATGAAGAAACTTTATTAGAACAAAATACTGACGACAACAACACTTCTGTTAACGACGTGCCCTTGGAAATGGATATTGA